TTTATTATATTGCTGCATTTGCTGCTTAAAGTGCCTTAGATTTTGTGTTACTTATTTATCTACTTTATATTTCATTTGTATTTTGTGGCATTCATGTGGACGGCAAAGTAAGAATTTCATTGTACAGGGAAACACATTTCCTAACTGTGCATATGACAAATAAACACTTTGACCGTTTTTCCTAGAGTTGACATAAGAAGGAACTGAGACTATACTCAGGCAGGAAAGTAAAACGTAGAGATTTGCATCTTATAAAATGGAACAGTAACATGGTCAAACTTTCACAAACAATATTCAAAACATTACAAAATAAATAAGTTAGTTATTTAACATTGGTGCAGCATGCAGGGCTGACACATGCAACCTTGTGCTGTGCTCAGCTCAGCACAGTGCAGATATGTTCTTGCACCAAGCAACACATAGAAATGAATGGGTTTGATAGTGGAGTGCAGCGCCCAACGCGTCCTATATGAAAACGGCTTTACGCAGCAGGTAAAGTCAGTTCGACCTCACCGCTGTCACTGTTACAGTTACAGTTTCTCCAAACGAACAAGATTCACACAGACATACCTGTGTTACTACCACAGAGATATACGTTGTGCCTTTTTTTGTATTTTATGACCGTTTGATCAGCTCTGAAAGCAGCTGTAGGTAGAGGTAAAGTGGACAACACAACCAGTGGCTGTGAGCTCTGGTGGACCACAATCAGTTTCACCGAGGGAGGGAGGGGTGGAGGGTGGGGGGACTTGGCTTGGATTGGATAACCTTTCACCTAGAACTGTCAAATCGAGTTTGATGAAAGCTGGTATCTATAATGTGTGTACAGTGCTCTGGTTTTTAAATGCCTTTAGGTTTTTGCAATGTTTTTAGTTTTAATAGTTGTAACTTGTGATAACATGAGCCTAACACCCAGAAGATGAAAAACCACATTGTATAAGGCCACTTTAAAGCTCAGGAGTTTGCGTGTCCCTCTGACCCGTCTACTTGTTGTATTATGTGAGCTTGCAGATAAATATGACAGTCTAATGATAACAGGACATTGTTTACACCAAACACATTACCCTATGTTATTACGTTATCAATCTAAATTAATCCACTGCTAAATATAGGAGCCTGTTAAAACTCAAATGTGTGATTTTAGTGGGGCACAGCAGATCAATACTGGAGCAGGTATCTCAGTAAAAGGGGTCTGATGACGATCTAGGTTGGTAATCTGTTAATTATGCCAATATAAAAGGGTAAGCTTGTATAAAGGAATAAAATATACAAGCAATTCACATTCAGTTAATAGGTTTTAAAAGTATGAATGTCCAGACAGTATTTCTTTCACCTGTTGCCTTACTGTTAACTGAAAAGAAAAATGTTTTCATTCTGTCAACATATATCTATGACGGAGTTCCGCCTTGACAGGCAGCGAAGTCTCGCGATATTTACGTTATATCTTCTGAGCTTCTTTCGTTGGGGATGAGACGGTGCTAGACAGTTTTGTTCGCAGCTCTCACGCCATAGTGTTTTGTTTACCCAAGTGTAGTTTAAACATCGACCAGAGATGAATGTTCTCACTGTGTTGCCGTCCAATTTTGGATATGTGATCTTTACTTACCTCTACAGCTGGATTATGCTGATGTATTTAGGAATTAAGGTTGGGGCTGCCAGGAAGAAGTACGACGTTAAGGTAGTTAAAATGTGATTTGAACACGGTTGAGTTGTCGCTGGAGTAAAGTTATAGGCTTCTACAGGATGGGTATTATTGCCTGCTTGACCTTTGCTTTATTTTGCAGTATCCCACCATGTACAGTGACAAAGAACAAGTGTTCAACTGTATCCAGAGAGCACACCAGAACACTCTGGAGGTGTACCCTCAGTGGCTTGTTTTCCAAACCATTGCAGCTCTTGTCTATCCGGTTTGTGTCATTTTTACACAGGCAATCATAATTGTGTAATACTTGTGTTGTTCAGTATAACTCAGTTTCATGTGTTTTTGATACACTGTTGGGCATAGAAGCTATAGTATGTGGGAGTGGGAAGCATGCGTTCTCCAGATAAGCGAGTCAAGTCCAAAGGGCACCGTCATAGTGATTAAGCACATTTTTGTCAAACTAAGTTACCCTTGTTTTATCTTACCATTGCTTTTTATTTTCAGTTATCAGCATCTGTGCTGGGCGCTATTTGGGTGACTAGCAGGTTCTCCTATGCCTGGGGTTACTACACAGGAGGTAAGACAATTTATTGTATAGAAAGACTTAATAAATGGCAAACGCACCTAAACTCAGTTTACCTGTTCTTTTTTGTTTTACATGCACTTTACACTAGTTTCTAGGCTGACATAAATAAAATAAAAAATAGGGGTCCAACTACAAATAGACCTATGTAAGTGTTGAATATGGGTCAAAGTTATATGAGTGCAATGGCCCTTAAATTAATAATTAAACACAAAGTATAATCATTTATACTGGCGGTTGTTGGGCGTTGTAATGACCACTGGTTTCAGGTTATGGTTCACTCCCCCTCTTATCTGTTGCTGCACTGCTAGTAATTCGGTAGGTGATAAAATTACTCTAATAACCACTAGTATATTTTTCATTCTTGTAATAGGTTTAATGCCCAACAATTCATTTCCAGTTTGCACAAAATAATTCTTGTAACATTAGAAGTGCAAAAGCAGCAGTCCAGGTGTCAAAGACATTACAGTATAATGGTTGCTTGAGTATTTGTATTGCTCTTCACCTAGTTTTATGCAATCATTTACTCAAGATAAGAATATGAGCAAATGGTGATGAAACTAAAACATGCATCTGTGAGCTCTAAGCTACTCTAAATGTTTGATTGCACTGTATTCCTTGCTGTTTCATGTAATTCTAATTTAGTAAAAGTTTTATTTGGTTTATTCCAGATCCAGCCAAGAGGATGAATGGTGCCTATGGCTACATTGGATTATTTGGAGTTGTCATTCTGTCCGTATCTGTAGCTTTGGAACTGCTTGGAGTCTTTTAGATGTTTGTCATCTGGCAATTGCCCATATGACTTAACAGTTTACTGATTTATACTGACTTGCATGGCATTTAAAATGTATCACCAATAAAGTAGCTGCATTCTTTAAATTCTGCTGCCATATTATGCTAAACACATTTTTATAGACCACTAATATGATACTTCATATCTTTTTTGTTTCTGTATTTGGTGTGAATGTCTGCTTCATGTAATCATCAACAATAAAGTAGATGATGACTAATACTGCCCCAAATATATTTATAGTCCTATCCACAGTTGAAAGCATTCAAGTGAATAACGAAAGGGTTAGCAGAAGGCATGGTGGCCCACATGTGATGTGATGCCCTGGCCAAACACAAATCCTCCATCAGTTGGAGCAAATGGCACATGGCTTTTAAAAGATTTGTGGGTCATGGTAACACACAGTAGGTCTATCTAAGGTGTTCTGTTCTAGAACATTGTTTCATCTGAGATAAAGGTTTAAACATCTACTTAGACTAGACTAAGCAAAGTGGGTATACACTCTACAACAAAAATAAATGTGCACAAATCTCTTGCTAAACCTTCTTTTTCTCGTATATGGAGCCAGTTCCATACTTGTTCAGTATTTCTAATAAGTGCCAGTGCTGAAAGTTGTACTTTAAGAACTGTAAATAGTACCACCGAATTTAAGTAGGTTTTTGTGATAATGAAGATTATTATTATTATTATTATTAATCGACATAGTCGTCTGAGTGTTTGGCAGCAAAGGTAGCCCATATAATCAGTACTGTGGAGGTAGTGATGTTTCCGCTGATACCGAAACTTGCTTCCAACTCGGATATTTAGCGACTTCTAGCGACTTTTAGGACACGCAATATTTCGGACAGACA